TAAATTCAGTGGGAACAATGCAAACTACTTACGCCATTTTTTGATGTAGTTTATAAAGACGGCCGAAAGAAAGCTTGGTTAAAAACCACCATCCTTAATTGAATATCATATTTTAGAATTATTCCGTACGGCAATTACTATTGCAACCGTATTTTAGTAATCATTTCGAATCCAAAACAGATTTAAGAATTTTGATTATCATTTCGTGAGATAGCACATCTACTGTAATTGATCGATAAGTGTGAGATGTGGTTAACGCAGAAACTACTGACATAGCCGCTCATCCTTGCCCTAACTGGTTGCTTGTTTGTTCGTCTGGCTTTGTATTAAATTCCCCCCATCTACCCTAAGTTCGACGTTTTTGTAAAAGTAATTGTGGAAATGGCTCCATATAATTTACTCCTTGACATCTAAAGCTGGCCTGCCTTAGATCGCCAATCGTTGCGTTCCCGCAACTAACCAACGCCGCACGTACGCGCGCGCGACGAAATTACGGGAGATTAATGGCTCAGTTCCGTTTTGCTGTTTGCATACTGAACATGCGATTTATCGATGTACCACAGTGTTTTTGCAAGTAGTCAGCCGTGCATATTATGACCTCAGTAGCCCCTGCTTAATTGTTCCATATTGGAGCACGACGTTTCGGATCGATTAGGGCACTAGCTCAGGTGCACGATAGAAAGAAACCATTTTCTAAAAGCTTTCGCGCAGTCGTGTGCCTACTTTAGACCTCTCCTGGTGCCTTTGAAGTGCTCATCATTCTTTTCATAGGCCGGGTGACTGTAGGTTTTGCCACAGCCTTTTCTCCTCCAGTCCTCTGCCGACTGCTTGGCTGAGTTTATAACCAATAGGCCGTCTTCTTGTTTTTCCCAAATGCATGCCAACCCGCAGCCTCCTTTCCTTTTCTTTCTATTTGGAACAACCACCAGCCCAATTAAACAGATTGGCTCTCTTGATGGGCGGAGTTAATTAGAGATAAAGCGTGCAGTTTATTTCAAATTGTTCCAAATGTGGCCTATATAATCGAGTGACTCAGTTAACTCATGACCCGATTAACTGAAGTTCACTAGAATCCTTAATTCAGATGTACTATTTTATCAGGGTTATTTCACTTAAAATGGGAAGACGACCAAACGCGTCGAACAGTCAAAAATAGACCAGATCTTTTACAGTGACAAATTTCAGTTTGTCCGACCATTCAACATTAAATACTGATCTTTCCATTTACTGTATTTTGCAGGGCAAATGCTGCTCGTGGATCCTGCTCAACGTCCAAACATTTCCACCGTGGTAGGAGAGCTCGCCGACCTTAGTAGTTCGCGCAAAATCGATGCAGCTGCTTCGATCGTCTTCAACGAGGACGTTAAGCGTCATCTTCGTATGGCAGGACGCAAAGGTAATTTACCCATCACTGCTTTCTCCCTCCGACAGACAAACTTGTGTTGCACTAGTTCGGGAACGTTCAACAGGTAGTTGGTAGGTGATCCGGTTGACCCAATTGTGAAAAATTTGTCGCCTCCGTGGAAGTTGAACCCACACAGCAAAGAAGGCTTTTGCGCAGCCAACGCTCTACCATTGAGCTACGAGGCTCACCGTAAGCCGTGAATTTAACCACACTTGGGTCGATTTATTCGGCCAACCTACTGTGCTTGTATGGAATCCACCATTATGGATTCAGTTAGCTGACTGCCCAGGCAGGATTTCCCAAGGAATCAACTAGAATCCACCAGAATGACTACTAGACTCGCTTACTTATTAGGAAGATTTGGCAGATTTGAATAATTCAGTTGACCAAATTGGGAAAAATTCGTGGACTCGGTGGGCTGCGCAAAAGCATTCCCTGCTGTGAGGGTTCAACTCCCACCGAGAACGTGAATTTTTCACAATTGGGTCAACTGAATTATTCAAATCTGCCAAATCCTCCTAATAATCCGGTAGGTGATTGCCTGTTCGTGATGCCTGCCACCTCTCCAGAGATCCTCTACTCCAGCAAATCTCCGCACCAGTGTATCCCTTTCTCATATTAATGAATAGTCTGTCTGCAGCGACAGAGTACTTTAGGAGACGTAATACTACTGATACTATCGGTTCGATGAAATGATTATGTCCTTCTAATAGACCTTTCTCTGACGTATCTGCGCTGGGCGTATGTGTGTGTGGTTGCGTATATTTGTGTTTCTAGTCTCTGTTGGTGGTCAGGATCATGCTCGATTGAAAATGCATCAAGCAACGGCGTTGTTTTATTCTACTCCCACCTCCGCCAATTTACTCTGTTGTGGCGGTGTGCATATTAGTGTGGGGCCAACTTTACTCGCGCGGTACTTCACTACAAGGGGAGACAAGGCGATCAGTAGAGAGAAAGAGAGCTACGGTTTATTTTGAAAACATCGCTTCAAATTTTTCAGCCAAAAACATCCTCCATTCAAAGGAATAAACTTGAGCGCACAAACTCACAATATCAGGAAATGAAAAGTAATGCGTAATCGCCAATGACTGAAATTTTCGACATCGTGGATAAATGTCCTTGGAAAAGTCGTTAAATATAGGCCAAATTAGAGTGCTTTCAAAACGGTGCTAGCGTCGTGACCTCGTGCACTCATACCTCATTGTAGTTCAAATAAACAAAGAAAATTTGAAGCATTTTTTCCCTGGTACGAATTGAAAGCAGGCAAAAACGGCAGAATTTATTGATATCAACAAATTTCGAGACAGCTCATCAGCTGCTACTTGTCGCTGCATAAGTAAGATAACGAGGACACATGGAGCAGTAGTGAATTTCACAGAATTACTGGCAACGGCAAAGAACGTTGGTCAGTTTAAAAAATAATCGATAAAGGACAGGACGTTAAGTCAACATATGGGAAGTAGTGAGTGGGGGATGTTAACGAAAAACACTTGGGAATTAAATTAAATGACCAATCACCAGGGCAAT